AATGGCCGTTTGTGCCATAAAAATGGTCACGTGTGCCATAGAAATGGTCATTTGTGCCATAAAAATGGTCATCTGTGCTATAGAAATGGCCATTTGTGCCATAAAAATGGTCATTTGTGCCACAGAAATGGCCGTTTGTGCCATAAGAATGGTCATTTGTGCCATAGAAATGGTCATTTGTGCCATACAAATGGCCGTTTGTGCCATAAGAATGGTCATTTGTGCCATAAAAATGGTCGTTTGTGCCATAAAAATGGTCATTTGTGCCAAGTTCTTGTTACAGACAAACAGACAGACGGACATACAGACACACGTGAATTACGGTTTCTAGACCCTAGCCTTTCAGTCTAGGGAATAATCATATAATCAGAGTAATCATTTAATAATAATAATAATAATCACTTTTATCATAATATAAATATATATAGATATATGAATCAACATTGAACATATACTAATATAAAAATATAGAGATATAGACCAACATTAAACATATACTAATATAATCTAATTATATATATTAACATGTATTATCACTATAACAAAGTGAGAATTGAAAAGAAACCTCAAGTTTTAAATAACTGCAAAATTATACGAAATATATGTAACAAATGTAACTTGAGCAGTGAAGTTTCATAGAATAGTATAAATATATGTATATTTTGTGAAATGCAGTAGAAAACGATATGTTTATATTAGTATATGTTGAACGTTGGTTCATATATCTACATATATTTATATTATGATAAAAGTGGTTATCATTATTATTATTAAATGATTACTCTGATTATATGATTATTATTATATGATTGCTATTATTATATGATTGCTATTATTATATGATTATTATTATATTATCATTATTCTCATTATTATTATAATATGATTATTAATATTTTGATACTGATGATGACCGAAATTCACCATTCAGAAAACTGGTCGAAAATTCTAAAAATAAAAAAACAAAATTTTGATTATTGTATTATTTCATCACATACATATTGTATTTTTCATTTTCTACTGCATTTCACAAAAATATACATATATTTTATACTATTCTATTAAACTTCATTGCTCAAGTCTCCAGCAATGTCCAAGATACAAAAAATGTCTACTTTACCTAAAGTCCTCTATGAATATGTGGGACTTTACATACCTTATGAAATGTCACGTATATCAGAAGTGATTGGAAGAGCAAAATATAAATACTCCATCAGCGGATATTTCTATATTCCAGCGGACTTTTCTATTCTCTTCAGGACTTTTCTTTTCACATGATTTTATTTATCGAGGTGAATATAAGAACATTTGAATAGATTTAAATCGGAGAAATAATCTATTGTATATATATATGATGGACAAGAGGATGTTTCTGTGTTCCAGCGGACTTTTCTATTCTCTTCAGGATTTTTCTTTTCACATGATTTTATTTGTCGAGGTGAATATAAAAACATTTCGATTTATTATATTCACCTATTTCTTTTTCTTTCCTTCATTTTCACATTTAATATGAAGTTGAGTCAATCTATATGTTTATTCGATTTATTATATTTACCTACTTCTTTTTCTTGCCTTCATTTTCATATAAATATAAAGTTGAGTCAATTTATTTGCTTATTGGATTAATTACATTCAGCTTGAATATATCTCTTGCTAGAATTAATCTAGCGTTTGTTTTTTTATTACGATGATTCGCGTACGCTGGACGTCAAAAGTCTAGCACCACTTTTGTTTTGGTTGGCGTTTCAAACATACACGACATAGATTCAAATTTGTTTGTATCTTTGAAAAGCGGATTCAGTACTATCCCAAAAGCTGCATAAAAAAAGACAAGCTAATATGGTTGTTATGATTTTTGAGTAACATCCTAGTCATGCAAAAATCGAATAATTTTTTGCTTGATATTTTTCCATGAGTCAATGAATCGTGATGAGCTCTAAAAAGCTATCTATATTAAATTTTTTTGGAACTCTTTTCAGCTACAAAAAAAAACAAAATAATTGCATGCTTTGTTTGTTCTATATGAAAAGGCGAGAGTTTTTTATGCCACAAAAGCGTAAAAATACAATTTTATTGTAGCTTTTTCTTCCAGAAAGGATTTCTAAAATATTTTAGTATATACAACTATGTAGAACTTCTCCAGATCTATTGACTGATGTAAAAATAACAAAGCAAATCTTACTCGATTTCCGTATTACTCTAGCTTTATTGAAACTTCTATAAATCATAACAATCATACCATATTGTCTTTTTGGGGTAGTTTTTGCCATAGTACTGAAGTATGTTTTTTGCTGTGTTTTCGATTCAAGGGTTATTCATCTCAAACATATGCATATATATAGTACTCAGACACCGCTATTCGAAGGTAACAAAGAAATTTGAATCTATGTCGTGTATTTTTTGAAATGCCAACAATAATAAAAGTGGTGCGAAACTTTTGACGTCAACTGTACAATCGTAATTTTCAGGGGATCCCGAAAGATGCGCACGGCGAAACTTGCGCACGGAGACTCTGAGGGCTCTGGCTGAGGCTGTGAAGTGCGGATGATGGTGCGGATGTAAGTGAGGGTGAGGGCGAAGATGATGGTGAAGGCAGTGAACTTGAAACGGTTCGTTCTGCTTTGAAACCCTCATTTTCCGTTCCGTGCGCAATTTTCGTCGTGCGCATCATTCGTAGACCCAATTTCCAGTACGTTGAACAGTTTGAAATTATTTAACTGAAGACACAAATATGGTAAATGATTCAGAAAGATTTAATGTATATTTCCATGATACATGTTCTCCAGTTATTCCGAGAAGTTCAGCAAGAAAAATTGTACAATATTGAGAGGAAACGAATTTTCTCTGTAAAGAGTTTTCTTCTCTAAAAAAAATTTATAGTCTACTTGCCCATAGCTATCATCAAATAGTGAGATGAACTCAATTAATTAAGATAAAAACAAAATAAACATTGGCAGAATAATGCTCTTTGTATTCTTTGAAAAATAAAAAAATAATTTATATTCTAATATATATATATATATCTGCCATGTATGTAAAAAAATTGAAAAAAAAATAGTTGCTCGCCAAACACGCTTCGGTGGATTAGTATTGAAATTAAGACTAACTATACAGTATTATTTGCATATCACTTACCAACCATAAATATTTTTAGTCCTTTCAATCAATATATTATTTATAAAGCTAACAAATCTTACCATTATTTTTATGAATTTAAAGCTAGAGTTTTTAGTTTTTAATTCACAAGAAATATTTTGTACTTTTTTAAAGAGAGAGAATATTTACAACAGATCTGAGTAACAGACAAGATTTTAAAGAATTATTGCTTCGTTGTAATTCTTGCGTCTCAAGACATATTAAGTTACAATTTACAATTTGAATATCATGATATTCTTTATATTCAGGCATATAAATACGCTCTCAAATAACAGACAATTGTATTTTGATATGATAGGCAGTTTTTATAGTGAAAAATTTCGTCGTTTGTATTTAACAATCATTCTTGTTAATACTATCACAGTACAATCAAATGCCAGGTTTTTAAATGAAAATGGTAGAGATTCATTATTTAATCTCAAGAGAAAATTAATATTGAAATTAGATACACACTAAGTGACATTTGATTGTAGCCAGAAAGAAGTAAGATTATTCAAAATTCATTTTTTAACAAGAGATAAAAGCTGTTAGTGTAATCTCTGTAGGATGAAAATTTGAAATATGATGTAGCTACTTTTCCCAATCTCCTAAAAAATGTTCTTTTTTCACATATTGGGAAACATTTCTTTATCATGACTTACTTAAGATGATAATGCTTCAACAGAACAATATGCCATATATACTCCAATTACGTATATGTTGGGTATACATTATCTCTGGTCATTCCTTGAAATCTTCTATCACGGCCCATGATGATTCTTGGAGCCTATCTGTCACGGTCTGTGGAGGTAGGAGGGAGAGTGTAAATTTCTACCCAAGTTGTATGTCAATTTCTTTGTTGGTCATCAAGACGAGAACAATATTCATTAGCATTTCCAAATTTATATCATTTTGGTGATCAAGGAATATTTAATAATTCATCATTTCGTTTAATTTTTAATTTTCGTCAAATTGATCGAATGCGTGTATATTCAAACATATAAATCTTAATAATTTGAACTTTTTCTTTTTTGTAATAAATTTACAATGGAAAAATGTTTCACTCAAAAGTCGTTTAATTGATATCAGTTTCAATTTAAATAAAATTCAAAATGATCTTTGACTTCGTCTTGTTGAATTAAAATGTCAAAGTAATATTATCCAACAAATTCGTTCAAATCAACGAAATGATTTAATTTCATTAAATGCAAATTTTCAACGACGAGTAAGTGATATAAAAAAAATCTTTTTTGTTTCTAATAAAATAAAAAAAATAAGTTTTTAGGAAAAATTAATTGAAATACTTGAAACAAAAGAAAGTTTAACAATTGATTCAGAAGAATTATTAACAATATTAAATAATATTCATAATGATCGAATTATAAATGAAAATTCTCTTAATAAACATCAAGTTCAATATGAAATGTTATGTTTAAGAACAGCTTGTGAAGTCTATAGAGAAACAGCTAAACATTTACCACAACTTTATATAATATTACGAGATTCTAATATGGAGTTTAAAATTGCAATAAAATGGTTTATGCAAATTGTAACAAATAATTTATCATGAAGAATTAAGTTTAGATATGATTCCTAAAGTTCAAGCAAGAGAAACTTATCTTCGTTCCTTTGAATCAATCTATTCTTATGTTTCATCAACTATGTCAAATGATTATCTTCAATGATTTCTTATTATATTTCCATTTATTAAACAAGATAATATTGAAAATATTCAATTATTTGAATTTATTATTAATAAATTAAATCCAATTAATTAAAAAATAATTCCTAATTTTCTTGATCAAAAAAGACCATAATTTATGAAGTCATTCATGGTTATTATGTTTTTCCAATGAAATTAATAAAAAATATCCAAATTTATCTGAAAATTTAATTGATTATCAACATGAATGGAAAGAATATTTATATTCAACAACTAAAGCTGACTTTGTTAATAAATCTTCATTAGAAAAACAACAACAATTAGTATTATTGATCCATTCATTCTTACGATTATTTTACAAACTAAAAAAAAAGGCTCGAGAAAATTCTTTTTTTTTTAAATATTATTTACTATTTCATTTATTTAGATTTTTAAATTAACTGGTATATTCTTGATTTATCATTATGGTGGTCTTCTTCATGATAAATCGTTGTCATCTATTGATAATGTTTATCGAATAACGAGTAGTGAGATTCTTAAACCGATGAATAATATAATCCTTTTTTGGACAAGTTAACGATAATATAATCGTTCAATAATAAAAATTATCCATTATATTTTAGGTTCATTTACTTTTCTTGATCCAATTGATGAAATTCGGAATTTAGCCAATAAAAAGAAACAATCTCTTCGACTTGTTTCATCAATTGATAAAAAAACGTCTTAATCATTTTATTAAAGATAAAAAAGATTGTTGGTTAATTATGAAAGACATAATTTTATTCAATGATGTTCTTTTACAAATTCGAGTAAAGATAAATTGAAAAATAAAATCATTTTTTTCAAATTAATTATTCTATTTTATGATTTTATTCTATCATGAGTTGATAATAAAATATGACTTATTTGTGATCCTTTATGTGCATCTAAAGTACCTCGTCAGTTTTGAAATAAAACATTTTTTAGGAATTAATTTCAAATTATTTTATTTAAAGTATAGTTAACTCAGCGCTGTCTACAGGTTTATTTAAGTGATTCAACTCAATCATCTCTTCATTTTCGTTTACAACAAAATATGTTATCAGAAAAAAAAATTACAAATTTAGAAAAAAAAATTGAAGAAATTCTAAAATATTCATGGTTATCTTATCACAGAAAAAGATGTTTCAAATATTTCGATGAAGTAACTTCTATTTAAATATTTTTTTAAATTGTTTTTTCATTTTTTTTTGTAATTGAATAGTTTTATTGAAAAGGATTTTTATATTGATTTAAAACATTGTGTTGATACAAATCAAATGAATATGATTGATTATAGAAATTATATTCAGTATGAAGATAAACAAATATTGACTAATTATATAAAATTACAATATTATTTTATATTTAGAACATTGATCCATTAAATCTAGTTAAACATATAGCTGATCTATCACAATCAATGAATAATGATCTATTCCCAATATTTGAACATTTATTTGAAAAAATTAATTTATTAAATGAAAAAAGTTGTTCAACAAAAGATGAAATGCTTCTGGGTGAATCACTTGCTCGTAGTTATTTAACTCATTTTCGTTCAATTTATTCTTCTCAACATCATTCAACATGTTCATCTTTAATTGATTTATTTATTTAAATTGAATATCATTTATTAAAATCTTTAGAAAAAGATTTATATCATCGAATGGAACATTGATTAGAAGTTTTTATTGCCATTGCTATTCCATTATCAAATAAAAATTCATTTATTCGTTCAATTTTATGTGAGGGTGTAGGTAATTGGAATTATTTTCGGTTTTTCATGATCAAGTTTAAATTTTAATCTATTTTGCATGATCATAACTGAAAGACTCTTAAACCGATTGTCTTCGATTCTCATCAGTTTTAATCAATTATTTTATCAATATTAAATCAAATATAATCGAAATTAATCATAACAATCATTGGAATTTTTATTTTTTTCGATTACTTTTGATTATAATTCAATAAAAGTGTATCATTTTAATAGACTTTCAATTAAATAGTAATCGATTTTGATCTATTTTTCGTCTAACTTTCTTTACATGCGGAGATACTAGATAAACTCTGACGTATTAATCTATATTGACAACCTTAACGAAAAACAATTATAATCCATTGAAAAGAGAAAAGTCCTTCTGTTAAGAGAAAAGAGACGCATCATGATAGTAAAGTCCACCTAAAGTCTGGTGAATAAAAAGAAAGTTCCACTGAGAAATGGAAAAGTCCTCTTACAAAAAGTAATGATAATCCATTGAAAAGAGAAAAGTCATAATGAAAACGTCCATTGAATTGCTATATTGTAGTAATAATAAAAAACATAAAAATAAGTGGACAATTAATGCAATGCAAATACCGAAATATCACGTCGTGTTTTAAAAACAAAGAGAAATATTAGCTGTCTTTTTATTTTTAATTTATATTTTATTTTATTTCATTATATCAATTTGTCCATCTATTTTTCTGTTTATAAAAATATTCCTTTAATCTTTATATTAAGAATTAAAAATTTAGAATTAATTTAAATACAATTTATTATTTCATTGTTCAATTTATCCATTATATCAATTCACTTCAATAATATTATTTTAAATAAATATATCACATGTTTAAGAATAATTGTAATTGATAAACACCAACTAAAATAAATTTTTATAAATAGTTACTATAATCAATTTAATTCAATTTCAAACTTTTCAATTATTCAATAAAATTATAAATTTTTCAATATAAATAAAGTATTAAATATAAAACAATAAAGATATTTGTTTTCTTATTTAATATATTAATAAATAAAAACAATTAATAAATAATCAGAGTGAAGATAATACAATAAGAATATTTAAAATCAGTTAGAAATAAAATATAATAAATTATT